TGCAAATAAATTTTTAATTAAAAACGGTTAGGCTTTATGACTATGAACGATCGGTATATAAATGGGATATTTTAGTGTAATCTGATCATGCACCTGAAGAGAGAGGATCTAGAAAGGGCCTCTCGAAACAGAACTGTAGTGCTTTTCAATTATTAATGAACATTCTTAGGTTTTAATCTTTAATTTATATATATATATATATATATATATATATATATATATATATATATATATATATATATATATATATATATATATATATATATATATATATATATATATATATATATATATATATATATATATATATATATATATATATATATATATATTACTCTCATAATACCAGATTTGCTAGTAGACACAATCTACAATCACTTTCAGAAGTTGTTGGGACACATGTAGTTTTAGATTGTAAGTGGATCATTACAGTTTTTTACACACAATACCGCTCCCCTCCCCGTCCCCCCACCCCAATCAAAGTTGCTCCAACCAAAACACATCAAACCTGACGAGAAATGGGACACAACATTGAACAGGGGGCGGGGGGATTGACGTTTTGTTGAAATTCAAAGGTTTTGTGGCATCCGTCCCAAGACTTTTGAAACTGATTGTAAGTAGACCAAAAGCACGAACTAATTATGGAATACAAACATTTAAATTTATTTCATCCCAAATTTAGGAGTCGATTAAACCTGAATTCAAACAATCAAACTCAATGTTAATATTTAAAAAAAGATACACTCAATTCCGAATTATTTCACAAACACATCCCTTCTAATTCCTTGAAGCAATGCATGATATTGTATAATATTTAATTTGTCATATATATATATATATATATATATATATATATATATATATATATATATATATATATATATATATATATATATATATATATATATATATATATGGCTTTATACCTAAAGCGAGTGGCTTTATACCTAATAAAACACGACCTGCAAGTTTTTTAAATGGCTTCAAAAACTCATTAATAATTCATGAAGTAATTATCCAATCTTGAGTAAGAAATTAGTCACGTGGATACGTCTTTATACCAGCTAAAGAACACTTTAACAAAAGACCATTGTTATGCAAACTATATAAAGATTTTTATATAAAGATTCTTATATAAAGATTTTTATATAAAGATTTTTATATAAAGATTTGACTTATTATGCAAACGTTTTTGAAGCCATTTAAAAAACTCGCAGGTCTTGTTTTATTAGGTCTAAAGCCACTCGCGCTGCGCGCTCGTGGCTTTAAAACTAATAAAATACTCCTGCTCGTATATATATATATATATATATATATATATATATATATATATATATATATATATATATATATATATATTATAAGTAAATCACTGACCCTTCTTCCAAATTCGATATCATTTCAATATAAGTAAATCACAAAACGAACATTTTTAAGACTTTTATTCTTATCCTACGTTTCGAGGCATGCCCCTTAACTTAATGAGGCAGCGATCAACTCGAAAGCTTATTGCCAGTTTGATCACTGCGTGCAATATGTATTATATTTTTCCCTTCTTTTTTCTGACCTAGCGATAGCGAGGTCAATACAGCAAGACCGAGGTTGGATATTTTCCCGTACTGCCCGAACGGTTGAGATCAGTAAGTTTTTTATTATATGGCATTGTACGTTTGTAAAAAATGGAAGAAAAGGTTACGCGAGGTCAAAGTACAAAGTCCGAAACAGATGCAAAAAAAAAACCAATTGTAAAAAATGTTCTCTTGGTTAGTAATACTACTCTACAGTACTTTTTATATTGAATACTAACACTTTTTGGATAGTATTTCAAGAAAAATACGAGGTGTTTCGTCACTTAATCAAAGACAACAAATATGAAAACAATAAAATTCAATAAAATTACAAAGACAAGAACGTTTTTAGTTCGCTTCATGTCATATTTATGTCTCTTTGTATCTAACAATAACAGAAATTTTCAGGGAAAAATTATAAATCTGTGGCTGCTTTAGTCGTATTTTTTTTCTTTACGTGTCAAATTCCTCCTGGCTATCTGCAAATAAAATTTGCAGTTCTTCACATATATAGTCAAAACACAACTATTCCTGACTGATTTTACAGTTATAAACATTGTAAAATTTATATTACCTTGTAATTTTGACTTTCGCTAACAAAAACGTATATATATATATATATATATATATATGGAGAAAGTTCTTTAACCACAGCAGTTGCTCCTCTTTTTATTTTAGGTTTATTTTTATTCTTTTTGAGTAGTTTTGAAAGACTTTTAGACATTTTTTGCTGTTTGAAACTCGGCTCTCGTCGCAGGGCAATATAAATTGCGTATTGCCCGTGGGCAATACGGAAAAATCCTGCCTCGTCAGCAGCCAATCAAATTGCGCGATTCATCAAAACAAAAGCATGCCATATAATATATATATATATATATATATATATATATATATATATATATATATATATATATATATATATATATATATATATATATATATATATATATATATATATATATATATAATTATAATTTTTCAAAATTATACAGTGTTCTCCGGACCGATTGGATTATTTGTTTTAAAACAAATAATTACAATCCGGAGAACACTGTATAATTTTGTAAAAATTATCCTTTAATAAAATGCCTGGATTACAAATCTTCAAATCTATTAATAAATTATATATATATTTGAGCATGTATCCTTTGGATCATTAAAGGTAACATACGTCTAGAAAATCTTTGGTAAATCAAATCTTCTGTACGAAATTACAAACAACAGCTCGCGAACGCCATATTGTTTCAGAGCGTGGTATCCACGTGTCACGCGTGAGCGTGGGATACTATAATATCCCACGGTGGATCTGCAGTGCGATATTATAGTATCTCACGCTGCATTGCGAAATCATGAATTTTAGTGAAATACCGTAAAAAATCACATTATCACGTGGTACAAATGCTGTATTTTCATGGGATAATTTGAATTTGAGGTATAATATATATATATATATATATATATATATATATATATATATATATATATATATATATATATATATATATATATATATATATATATATATAGTCACAAACTTGAGGATTTTGATGATCACTTGAGGTCGCCGGCGTTGACAATTGCTTCTTCTTCCGATGTCAAAAGCTATTCCCATTTCTTTTTCCATGAAATCCATTCGCTTCTTGTGATTTTTACATAGCCAAATAATGGTACAAATAGCGATCAGAATTACAAGTGTTGGAATTAGAACAGCAACAAATATAACTCCATTGCTATCGTCTGTCACCAGATCATGTCCTGTTTCTGGCAAAGTTAAATAATACAGTCACACGACTTTAAGTTGGAAACCATTTGTTCTTAGGAGGTGCATGCATGTGGCCGTTTGACACAGTGATGAATTCATTAGTTTCCAAACCACATGATATCAGCATTATAGCAAAATTTTCGCGGATGTATCATGACTGAATATTTTCCTTGCCTAATAATTTCCTCTTTCTAAGGAACGCAAGATATTTTTCCTGGAGGTGCAATTTTTGTGACAATTGAAATCCAATATGGAACCGGCATCATTGGCAGATTTGCCAAATAAATTGAGTTAGCAGAGTAAATTGATATTTAATAATCTTTAGATATATGTTATTAACACGTTATGTGATCTTACCTGATAGTACCGGCTGGCAACTTCCATTTTCCGCAATAAAGTTTTTTTCACATGTACAGTCATATCCTCCTGTTCTCACAATTCGTTCGCACTTCTGAGTTTTTCCACATGGGTTTGTTCGACATGGGTCATTGTCTATATAATATTCAAACACTCATTAATAATTCATAAGCTTATTGGCAAATCATGTCAACCATAGTATGTTATGTGTAGTGGCCTTAAACCGGATAAAACATTCCTAATTAGTATTCTTTATATAAAGAATACTAATAAGGCAGTATCTATTTTAGTCGTGTCCTCATTAGTATTCTGTATATAAAGAATACTGATAAGGCAGTAAGTATATCTATTGAATTTGTTGTCGTGTTTGAAGCCGTTTAATAAACTAGCAGGTCGTGTTTTCTTAGGTCTAAAGCATATAAATAATAGGCATAGAATGCGTGCTCCTATCTTTTCATAAGGGCATTTTGGCCAGTCCCAGACTCTCGCGGCAAGGAGTTTCGCGCGGTTGCAGGGAGTGCGAATTGTTGGTTTTTTAAACAAAGTTTGCAAACTGAGCAATTATACACTGTAAATCTGGGGGCGTTACCACACACCGAAATCGGTGTAAATTCTTGCAGCTGTGTGGACACCGATTTAGTGTTTACTTACACTGCACTCATTTTGGTGTTAATAAGGTGGTCTGGGACAATACGATTAAATTTTTTTATTTTTAGTATTATGAACTTCGTTTAGGTTGCATATGATAGAACATCACTTGCCGACAGCAAACATACAAACTTCATATGTGCTGTTTCCATGGTTACCGAGCCACACCCTTCTATATAGTGAAAAAGTACCCCTTTTTCGGGACATGATAGCAAGAGTAATAATGGTCATCAAAATATATAGTTAAGTTTGAAGGAAAGTCAATAGATGTATTAAACATGCAAACCTCAAAAAATAACACATTTGATGAAATTTCATTAAAAAAATTTTTTTTTTTTCAAAATGGGCAAAAATTGTGTATTCATTGCAGACAAAAAAATTTTTTTATAGATATATTATAATGATAAATATGGGTTTTGAGGTTTAGGTTTGAGATCTATTTACAATCATTATATTCTGAAAATTTGATCAAATTTGGACTAATATTGAATGAGAGAGAGCGTCCCGACTTCGGTAAAATGTTATTTTGAGAAAATCGAGTTCAAAGTTGCACGATAACTTTTGAAGACAAACAAATTACATTTAAACAGATAAACTACATCAAAGTGTATTTGAAATGAACCTGCTGCATATGTTTTTTCCCTCTTCTACTTCATTATTGTCACCTTTCCTCTTATTTCTTCCCCTAATGACCTTTCTCTGCACTTTATTCTTCTCCTTCGCCTCGTAGCTAGATTTCGTAACACGAAACCGATCGGCTTCCCTTACTCCAGCAACACGAAAAGCTCCTGGATTTATTACCAAAGGCTTTGAAGACTTCAATAGTTGCTTTGGCACTAAGGTTGAAATGATGCATGCTTTGGAGACCTTGCTCAAGGGTTCTACGTCCAACATTTTTCCATTTTCCATGGAAATGACCGTTACACATCCGTGCGACAAGGTAAATCCCCTTCTTTGCCATGTTCCATTGCATGAAACAGCAGTTTCCACAATGTCTTCACCGTCCTCAGTCTTGGAGTTGTAGATTTCAGTACGGTGGCCCAGAAGTGCAAAACACAAAACAAACAAAGCAAAACAAAAATTACGTTTCTTTATCATTTTTACACTATTTTGATACATTTTTACCCAAAACATGAAACACAACTAACCATTTTATCACACAATTTTCTCTTTTGTGACACATTTGGAAAACACAAAACACATTTGGAAATCACAAAACACATTTGGAATCACAAAACACATTTAGAAATCACAAAACACATTTGGAATCACAAAACACATTTAGAAATCACAAAACACATTTAGAAATCACAAAACACATTTGGAATCACAAAACACATTTAGAAATCACAAAACACATTTGGAATCACAAAACACATTTAGAAATCACAAAACACATTTAGAAATCACAAAACACATTTGGAAATCACAAAACACATTTAGAAATCACAAAAAACATTTGGAAATCACAAAACACATTTAGAAATCACAAAACACATTTAGAAATTGGAAATTCCGAAGTGCTTCCACTTCATAAAACTGGATTTCCTGTTTTCATCCTTATTTATTTATCCTTATCTGGCGTTTGAAATAGACTATTATTAAGCCCCAATGGTTGGAATCTAATAGTTTCCTGCCATTATCTTGGCAATTCATTATATTTCCTGCCAATTTTATTCCAAAAAGGATTTTCTGCCATTTTTCCTTGCTAAATCTTGCCAGAGCCCAATATTTTTTAGCCAGGAATTTCCTTGCATGTGGAAGCTATTGGTCACAAACCATTTGTTACAAGAAGTGTTTACGAATGTCTTCAAATTTCAAAATGGCGTCTGGAAAACGTGGGAAAATTGTTTGAAAATATTCTTTTACATCAAACAAAACAATGAAATGTCCAAAATGTTATTCAGATGTTTTAGAGTCGTTTCGATTTTGCCATAAGTGTGGGGAAGTACTAGTCGTTGAATCTTCGTCAAGATCTGAAAGTACAGCGTACATATCAACTGAAAGTGAGAGATGTGTTTCAGGACCGTCATATTCAACACCTCTGCCACCAAAAGGGACCGTGCAAACTCAACGAGTTCCACGTGTTGAATCGTTCAATGAGTTCCGAAAAAGAAAATCCAACGAAAGAGTG